GAGGTGGGGGGGGGGGGGGGCGTACTCATTTGTTGCTTGCCGTAGTCATTTGACCATTGACCACGCGTCCCTTTCGAGACGGAGCACCGTTCCTACCCCTACTAGAGACACCACCAACATTTGGGAGCTCTTTACGTTTCTGCCACAAACTACATAAAAATTTCTTGCACATCTTTTCCCCGTCCTCTAGGGCCTCTTGTGCCCACCATCTATCCCCAATTATCGCGATCGTTTTTTCGCTGGTGTCTAATTTACCAAACTTGTCCATGTCACACCCTCTCTGTCTCATTTCCTCCTCGAGATCCTCTCTTTCCTTCCTGTACAACTCACACTCCCCAACTATGTGGGGTCTACTCTCCTCCGATTTGCCACATGGACATGTGTGTCTATCCTCCTCTTCCTCTCTCCTACGGCTGGTATACCTCTTCCTCCGTTCTGGCAAGTCCAGATCGCCTACTCGAAATTGCAATTTCAGCTTTTTCGCGTAGTCCATAGGGCCGTCCAAGTACGTCTTCATCCCTATCCCTTCTTTCAACTTCCCGTATATCTCCAAGTGGTCTTCGCTTCGTACCTTCTTCCGAAGGGTGGCCTCCTCCCTACTTTCTAGCATCTCCTTGACTTTCGTCTTGAACCCCCCGAACCCTTCCGTGTCCAACGTCTCCTCCTCGTCTCCTATCTCCTTCCAAACCTTCTCTACCACCATGTCCCATCTGATTCCCTTCTTCCCTGGAATCGCTTTTCCCCAAGCTGCCTTGTCAACCATGGCTGGTAGTCTATCGTCCGACATTCTACTTACCTTGTACTGCCAATTCAACTTCTGCATGTCTCTCTTTGTTTGAAGAGAGTACATTCCCAATTCTGCTCTCAATACAGTGTTGCTCGTTGTACTTGAACATGCTAGTATTTTCTTGGCCGCTGCCATCGGCACCGTTTCCAGCTGCTTGACGGCCTTTTCGTTACCTTCCCATACCTCTCCTGCATACTCTAGCTTAGGTAGGGGGGGGGGGGTACCATGCAATGCCCGGGTTGCCCGCCCCCCGCCCCCACAAATACGCACTTGATACATGACGAGGTCCATACACCTAATTTCGACTGTGCTTGCGGACATGAAACCACCGCCAACACAAATTGCGCCGCATTTTCTGCTTCTCGATGGGTAACCTTACTCAGGATAAATCGGGGTATGTTTGGCCTTCATTTCAGACGAACTCTGCCTCTGGAATCTAGTGCATTCGTCCAACACCCAGTCTTGCTTCCCGTCGCAATGCCATGAAGCGTTTCGACGAGCCAAAACAGTCGCCATCTAAACATGTCAAACCAAGCGCGTACACGCTGCCGCTACTACTGCGTGGCGACGCTTGCAGGTAGTTGGCTCTGCGTGCGTGCGACACCTCCGTGCTCTACGATCAAACCAATACACCCGCGTGACAACAGGTCGACGCGATGCCGATCATCGGGTTCCACGTTCAACCACGACTATCCAATTTTCTACCAACCATCACGAAGAAAAACAAAAAGAAAACGATCTCGGACTCTTTGTTGTGTAAGAGATGAATTTTTTGTGTTTCGTGAGAAATAAAAAACACACGTAGGTGAAAACAGGGAAATCGGAGATGTTACCCCGTAAATTTACAGGTCATCTCCATACGCAAACGAAAGGAAATTCTACGTCGACGAACGGACCTCGCGCCACGCCCCCGTTTGCGGCGTATAGAGCCAGACGTCGTTCATGAAGACCGTCTGACCCGTCCTGGTGATGGTCTCGCCTCCGAACACCACCAGGGAGGCCACGCCGTCGCCCACACCGCCTTGCCATACCTGGAAGAAAAAGAGAGTGAAAAAAAAAAAAAAAAAACGCACACAAAAGAGCACATCCATCCATCCATGCAGTCGCCCACACCACTTTGCCATACCTGAAAAAGAAAGAAAAAAAATCACGTCGCCGGCAGCAACCACGAAAGACAGGCACGACGCTTACCGTGAGGGAGTGGTAGAAGCGGTTGCAAGGAGCAGGTTTTTTGGAGTCCGGGGTTATCTCGCTCCATCTCATCGTCGTGAAGTCAAACATCCTGAGACGCGATTAGATGGGGCGGGGGGCGAAGTCAACACGCGTCTTATGTATGAGAGCTTTGAAGCCAAAACTACACCAACTGCAGGTCAAAAATACAACACCAACGACGAGACATTAACATTCCCGCAAAGGAGAGCTGAAAACCGAAAGCACCAAATCGAGAGGCAAACAGCAGTACGCAGCAGTGCGTCACTGCCTGCACACCAGCCAAAGACTACTCAACACTCCTCCCAGCAGGCTCTGACAACCAACAACCACACCATAATCGAGAGGCACAAAAGCAGCACGCTACTGCTTGTAGCGTGCCACAGCAACAGCACACAAGTCACAAGTCGACGACTGCTGGGCGTACTCACCAAAGGTCCCCTAGCGGGGTAAGGTCGTCCATGTTCTCCCTTCCCCCGAAGATGAAGAGCGCGTTCATGTTGTCCGTCTTCGACTCGATGTACGCCGACGCGTGGCCGTGCCTGCCCAGGGGGCGCGAGGTCGACACCCCCGGGCACACCGTCTTCATCTTATCTCCGCCGCCGCCGCCGCCGCCGCTGCTGCTGCTGCTGCCGCTGCTGATGATGCCGACGGTGCTGTTGCCGGCAGCGTACGGGGAGGAGGAGTAGGAGGAAGACGTGGCCGCTTCGGGCCGGAGGGCTGGAGACTCGCCAGTGTCGTCCGCTGTGCAGAGAGATGTCGCGGAGGTATGTGTGTATGTGTGTATGTAGGAAGAGAGAGGGGACAGGAGGAGTTTCACGCGGAACGGGTCGACAAGCGGAAGGAAAAAAAGGAAAGGGGTGTGAGAGAATGAGATATCGAACACACGTGAGAGCCCTCTCTCTCCCTCTCGTTCTCTCTGTCTCTCTCTCTGGTCTGTTTGTCTCTCTCTCTCTCGTTCTCCCTCCCCTTCCTCTCTCTCTCTTGCCCCCCCCTCTCTCTCTCCCTCCCTCCCTTCCTCCCTCGCCCCCCCCTCTCTCACACACACAAACCACTCACTCACTCACTCACTCACCCTCGCAGGCAAACGCGTCGGCATCGCTCTTGGGAACGATCTCCTCCCACCGGTTGGTAGCCAGGTCATAGGCGTACAGATCGTTCGAGCACGAAAAGACGCCGTCAGGGGCGAGCTTACACCCTCCGAACACAACCGCGCGCACCTGCACACGCAAGTGTACACGGTGAAGGGAGAGGGGGGGGGGAGGGGTACTCATGTAAACGCATGCCGTACTGTAGTCGTTAGACCATAAACCTCGAATCCCTAGAATGCCGGGACGGAGGAGCAATATGCCGGGTTTTCGCCGGCAAAGGCTATGTTTCACAAGGGGTGACCCAGAAGCTGATCATCATCCTTGCGGTTGCTGCGCTAAACCAAACGTGCATAGGGCATCCCGGCTAACCAAACGCTGCGCATTTGGCGGGCAGGGGGAGGTGCAACTTCGTGAACAAATTTCAAGCGTGTATCGGTGCGGAAAAAAGTGTCACACACACATACATCGTACATGCGAGTGCGACTTTCCTCTTGAGGCATGGTTGCGCACGTCGGTCACAACATCATGAGAAAAAAAAAACGTTTCGGGCAGAAAGTTCCCCGCGGGAAGGCGGTTTCGCTATAAAGACGCAACAACAACGGCAGAAGTGCGAAGCGCGATAGAGGTGTACTAAATAGCAAAAGAGAGGCAACGCACGCTCGTATCTTATCATACCTCGTTCTCCCCATCCGCGGTATGCTTTCTGGTGATGTTGACCGTGTCCATCGTGCCCCCTATCCCGCACTCCCCCGGGAACGACGGCCCCTCCCTCCATTCACCCTGCGGGTCCCCCAGGTCCACCAGGAAGAAGCGAGAATCGCATCGCTCGTTCGATTCCCCGTCCTCCTGCAAAATCCCACGAAATTTGTGTCGTTTTATTCCTTCATTTTTAGGGTGTTTTTTCGTCCCCCGGGAGGATTGTATTAGGCATAATTCTGTTGCCGTTTGGAGGCGAGTAATTGGCTTAATCGTCTTCTGACACTTCAATTTTCACAGAGTGTTTCAAAATTTATGTACAAATGGCTTGTCCGTTACACAAACGGGGAAAGAAAAATCCACAACAAAAAAAGACGAAATTCGTACATACCACGTGAACCGGGGGGTACTGCTGTGCCTGCAAAATCAAAAACGGGATATTGTACCGCACGCACTGCTGTAGGGGATCGTTTGCTCTTGCATGAGGCGGTACTTTTGCGTTACATGAGAGTCGGGTATTTCCTTCGTATCGGTGAAGGACACGCACAAAAACAGACGGCAAATAGGGGGGGCAAAACGCGCAGCAGAGTCCGGGCACCTCACCATCTTGCCCCCCTGCAGCAGCAGCGTGGAGTTGACCATGGCCAAGGACGGCTCCCTCCTCTCCCCCGGGAGTTTCCCGGTCCGTCTATACTCCTTCGCGATAACCGATAGGAAGGCCGACAGACAGACAGACAGACAGACAGACAGACAGACAGACAGACAGACAAGCAGACAGACAGACAGGCGGACAGACACACAAGTTGTTCAAGATACACATACGCAAAAGGTTGTTACTCAAGAATACGCACACACAAGTTCCTTCGCCTCTTGTGTCTATCTCTCTCACACACGTTCAGCGTACATACGATCTCCACTCAACTATGTCATGACTGCCCAACGTGTATCGCCCTGCTATGTTGTGCGCCTATATATCTGAGCCTACAATCCTCTTACAGTCCTCTTACAGTGCTGCAGCGCCCAAGCGAGACGGTTTCCGCTGCATCCCTCTTTACGATTCTGACACGAAGCGACAAAGCGGGCTAAATTGTAACCTGGGACCCTCTCCTGAGAGGCCACATGCCCTTGTCCTGTCCTGCCTTAAAAAAAACACACGCCTCCTTCCTTACTTCTTCTCTCTTTATTTTCTCTCTCCTTTGCTGCTTTTTTTCTTTCGTGCCCCTCTCTCTGCCCCCCCCCGTCAATCGGTCCTTCCGAGTCCGACTCAAAGGCGTGACTCTGCTTCTTGCCATCTTTGTCTCTGTTTTTTCCAAGAGAACACACGTCTTCCTCTATTTTTTGTTCCCCTGAATACGTGCTACGTTTGCACTTCGCCATCGCTACCCCGTCTTCTTGACCACCACGGCTGATGCGTCAAGAAAATACGCCAAAACGTGCGGTACAGGTCTACTAGGGTTCTGAATTGCTGGGACGACGCACACACCCTTCTCCTGACCATCCACTAAGACCAATAGCGTCCAGAATAACTGTGACATACACACACACACCCTTATCCGTCCATCACCGTCCACTAAGACCAATAGATGGGCGCTAAAAAGAGTATCTGGAACGACACCTATACACGTCCACTAACACTAAATAATGGCGTCCAGAGCAACTGTGAAAGACACAACACACACCCTTATCCATCCATCACCGTCCACTAAGACCAATAGATGGGCGCTAAAAAGAATATCTGGAACGACACCTATACACGTCCACTAACGCTAAATAATGGCGTCCAGAGCAACTGTGAAAGACACAACACACACCCTCACCGTCCACTCGCTCCTCCTGTCCGAAGCGTCGTACGAGTAGTCCTTTTCGCTGGCGTGCAGACGCGATCGCGAGCCCCTGGGCGAGAACACCCACAGATCTCCCAGCCCGCCCACCTGATTGGTCGTCTGGTCGTCCCCACCGTACACCACTAAACTGAAAAAAAAAAAACGCGGAGGGCGGGGGTTACGAGGTTTGCAAAAAAAAAAATTCCCTAGCTTCCTCGTTGCGGCGTTCACGAGTGGCTCCTGTCTTAGGCGTCGTCGCTACAATACCCTACGACAGACCTCTAGTCGCAAGGGCGGATAGGTGGGTGGAATCGTGGAGGAGGTGCTTTGGCGAACAGGGACCGACGGCCAAAACTGCACCCCAAAAAACACACAAGCAGCAACTAAAACAGCAGCAAGCAGTCGCCTTCCCCCAGACGGACCCGGTACGATTCTCCCGTGCTCCTCCTTAGTTAGAGACATACTTGAATCTCCATCATGATTGCATACATTCGGTCGCTGCCTCTGGACAAGAGCCGTCGATGCTATGTCACATTTGCGCGCCGGTTCGAAAACGAATTTGAAACTTCGAGTCTAGGCTATGTTTGGGAGGAGTGGGAGGTAGTGTACTGTCATACTCGGTGCAAACGCATCCCTGCAATGCCGCGACGGAGCGACAACCTGGGTTCTCGCCGGCCCGGGGTATGTTTCGAAGGAATGAACCAGAAGCTCAAAAAGTGAAGGGCTATTTACATTTAGATTCACGATTTCTCTCTCCATCGCAATCTTAATCTTAGGTCGCAGCAGTCCGTGTTGTGTGCGGGGCGTTCAGTAATACCGGGTGGAGTTCAAAATGGTTCTCTTTTCATGAAACGACAGCAAATCTCTTGGTGATCTTCCCGTCTCTGCACGGAAGTTGCACTTGAAATTAAATAAAAAAACACACACACACACATACGCACACACACGGGATCCCAGATCATGGCCTTTAGGAGGACTTTGTGTGTTTTCAACCGCACTAAAAAAAGACATATTTTGATTGTTTAGGGCGGTCAATGCTATCAACAAAAACACACGAACACACATACCTGGCACCATACGCCACGCTGTCGCCGGTCTGCCATCGAGCAGACGGACGGACTTGCCCGATCGGGACAACCTGTAACGGGTCAAATCGAGACGGTACATGACAAGGACAAAGTTACGCCATGATGCGCCGCATGTCCCACGCATTAGCGGTGGTTATTGTTGGTGTCGCCGAAACTTCCGGTCGTGTATGTGTCCTTCTGCGGTGTCCCACGACCAAACCCTTTCTTCGGGTGCTACTGTAGCGAAGGCAAGCACCGCTGGAGGAAAGGCGAGGCTTTGAAAAACAACCAAAAAAAGGCTCCTGGGTGACCTTCTTCCTGGGTGACCCCGGCTGATATGTCAACGATTTTCACCGAACGGTGTGCTCACTGGCGCCAGAAATGAAGGAAAGAACACAAACAAACACGATTTCGCCTTTATTGTCGCTGCACGGATGGCGTGGGCTGAAGTGCACAAGCTTACAAGCAGAGGTATCCACTTAAAGAGTTCCTGTGCTCAGTGTGTCTCGAAACGAAGACATGTAGCACCGAAAATTGTAATTCCATTCCACTGACGCCTGGCTCAAGTTTCGGCTTGCTTGGGAATTGTGTGGAGAAGTGGCAGCCAGGTGCGCACATGTGCTTCGACTCAAGAAAAATCTGACCACCAAAACAGAAGACTTCAATGTGACCCTTGATCTTCACCTCCTATGACGTCTATCGGCGTCTCTGAAGGTACGAGCAACAAAATTACAAAAGGAGACACATTCACAAAACAGCGACCGCATTCCCCAACACAGCATACCATTCAATCCAGAAACCGCGAAAATTACTTGGGGGTAAGGGCACAAAAAGAGCGAAAAAGATCACGGGCGCGCCGCGCGTGGTGTGTGGGTGACTCCAACTCTATTCCAAGCTCAGAACAGCAAAAAAAAAAGAACACACAGACACAGAAGGCGTATGACCTTGTTCCACCGGAAGCCCGTGTTGGTGATGTGCAGCGCCCACATGTCGGACAGGTAGGAGAGCTGGTCGTCTGCCCGCTTGTCGTAGTAGTCCACTCTGGGGACCCCCCCCCCCCCGCGTTGCCAGCCAGCCAGCCGCACGTACGTACACACGACACGGACGTGTGCGTTCAAACAGCACGGCAGCGCGAAGCGAAGCATCGTCATCGAGCAGTCCAAAGTTGTCGAGCAAACAAGAAGACGAGCGACAAAACCAACATTGTTCATCGTCGTGCAACACTCCGCTGCTTGCTAGACAGCTTTGTGTGCAGAAGTCACGCCGAATTCTGCTTTCGCCGTTGTTTCTTTTCTATTTAGTTGCCAACACGTATCAGGCCCCGCGGCTATTGTTGATCAAACGAACACGCGACGCGTACAAGACAACAAGTGAGCCAGAGGGCTGACCGTGGGCGACTGGCTGCGTTTGTTTTGTTCCTTCGATTTCTTCCTTCGTGTCGTGTACACCCAATCACCCATCACTCTTGTAACAGTATCGTGACAAAGACGACGGCGTGCGTCCCACGTTCGTAGCACACCACTACACAACAATCGGTACCATCACCGAAGCCACCACCGAAAGCATTCCTTGATACCGCCGCAGCACCGCATGCCCCTCCGTCCGTCCTTGTCGGCTCTCCAGGTGGAGAGGAGACAACGACGGCACACGAGCATTTCCAGCCTTCACCCCCTACCCAACACATGGACCAATATCTCTCTCCCCCCCCCCTCTCTGTGTATGTGTCTGTCTGTCTCTTGGCTCTCTGCCTGCCTCTGCCTGCCTCTATCTATCTGTCTGTCTGTCTTGTCTATCTCCCTCTCTGTCTCTGTCTCTGTCTGTCTGTCTCTGTCTGTCTGTCTCTGTCTGTCTGTCTCTCTCTCACCCTCTCCCGCCAAACACCACGACGCGCTTGGCCGTCTCCACCAGCTGGCTGTCCGGGTTCCAGACCGGCATCCACATATTCGCCACGTCCGCGCCGGCCCTGCAGAACGGCACCCTCGGCAACTGCATCATCCCGCCCCCCCCCCT